AGGCAGTGCCTAACTTACAATTTATTCAAGTTACAACGAGCCACGGCCGTCCAGGCTTTGGGGCCATCTCCCCGTCAGTGACACGTACTGCGCATGGCGCTGCAGCAGGTAGGCTGTGAGGCCATCACGAACGTGCCAGCCTCAAGACACTGATGACGAAAGGCAATAATAACAAAGACAAGGAAAAACAGAGGTGTTCAACTTACTCAGAACTGACCGATGACGGAGGAGTCAGAATTGAACCCTGTCATAAGTTAGGGACGACCTGTACAGAAAATTACAGCCAAAGAATGAAATCCCAGTGGTGTGGTTCTACCCTTGGCCGTGACTGGGGCACTGAGTGCCTCACTCATGGGAACAAGTAGTTCCCAGTACAGAGATCAGCCAGGTGGTCCTGCTGCTTGCTCACGGAGAGGCAGCTACAAAGGCAGGGACCCTGGGGACCAGGTGAAGGCGCGACTTGACCTCTGTGGAAGTCACGCTGCCCACAAGCTCTGCGGTGTGGGACGGAGCTTCGGAGCACACTATGTAGGTCGCACGGAAGCAAAGTGCCAAGCACAGGGCTTTAATGCTCAGCTCAAGTCACCGTCAAGGGACCACACAGTGTCCACGCTATAAACCAGAAGACCAAACCCACTGCTGCTGAGTCAATTCTGACTCATAGCAACCGTAAGTATGTGCGTCTATTTCTACGGGATCCCTAAACTAGTCTCCTTGTTCTTGTAGTCACAATAGGGCTTTGGTGGCGCAGTTGTCAAGGCACTCAGCTCTTCACCAAAAGGTCAGCAGTTCTAATCCACCAGCCACTCTGCAGAAACATGAGGCAGTCTGTTACTCTGTTCTGAAGGGTCGCTATGAGTCAGAATCCACTCAGTGGCAGTGGGCTTGGTTTTGTCGGGCTTTGTAGTCACAGGACCAAGATGGCTGAAAATCAATCACAAAATGTATTTGCAAGGCTGCAGAGCAACAAGACGATGCGAATGCACAGCCCTTGTACGTTTCCTATGTGAATGCTAGGAAAACGGAAGGATTGGGGCTAGAGACTTGGAACGGGCTCACGTGGAGTCAAATGAAACTGAGGGATGGGGGTCGAGCCTCTCGGGCTTCCCTTGCCAGTGGACCCGCTTGCCCTCCTCTGCCCTGTCTCCTCGAAGACTGTGGTAATCCTGTCTGGGGCAGCTGCGTGGCAACGGGGAGCCTACTCTCCTCAGGGTCCTCTCCAACCTCCCTCTGCTGTCACTGGGCCATTAGACACACAGGACTTTGCTCACTGATACGCACAGAACTTGGACGGCATGTGTGGACATGGGCTCTAAGATGGCTGGGCCCAGAAGATGGACCACAACACTGGATTAGAGTGAAGCCACATGAAGGCAGTGAGCAGAGACTCTCAATTTCACCTGACAGCTTGGGAGGTTCGGAAGCAGCTCTAACAGTGCATTTGGTCAGCTGACTTAATGGGGCCTGCCCTGAATGAGGCCAAGAGGCCAGAGTGTCCTGTGATAATGCAGAGAAGGAAACGGGAAGGCTTAGAGACTGGCACGCAGGGATTGATGTCTCAAGTCCAGCCTACACACCTCGTCCTCAACCACCTCTCCTGAGAGGGCCCAGACAGCATTCTCTTCACTAAGGTATAGAGAAATGCATCAGTGATGGGGCCTGTCATCAACAGCCACCCCTGGGTGACGCAAAAGGCTAAGCGCTCGGTTACTAACTGCCAGGCTGAAGGCTAGAGGCTGGAAGGCCTGGGAGCCTCCTTCTAAACTATCACATGGAAATGCCACGGAGTGCAGCTCTACTCTGAGACACAAGTGGTTGCCACGACCGGGAACCGACTGGACGGTAAGCGGCTTGGGTTTGGGTTTACTGCCATCGACAAGGACCAGGGCTGTGGTCCGTTGTACACTCGGGCTGCCACAAACCAGAACGGACTTGAAGGCACCCGACCACAACATCATCATCAACAACCACACGTGCAAAGAAGCAGATCCTTCCCGTTGGGACTGAGGTGAGACCCCAGCCCTGGCTGACACCTTCACTGCAGCCTTGTCACCTAATGCTGCTATGACAGGATGGCACCGTGGACGACATTAATGGAAGGAACGGCCTCAGCTTAGGAGGCAGACGTCTGAACTCAGAGTCTCAGCTCTAGGGGAACGTTCTCTCTCTGCTGGCTCTGAGGGAAGGTCCTTGCCCCCTGTAACATCTGTGGGCCCAGTGTTCCTGCGCATTTCCATGTCTCTTGGCATCGATCTTCCCTTGGGTCTATGAAGTTCTCAGCTCAGGGACCCTGTGTCCAAAGGATGCCCTCCGTTTCTAGCTCTTCTTTCTTGGTGGTAGTAGACACCCCTCTCTCTGCTCACGTCTCCCTCCTTTTATCTTTGTGAGATAGGAGGTGATGCAGGCCACGCCCCAGGGGAACTCCCCTGACTCTGGATGGAGGTTGTGATCTGAGTAGGGATGGTGACTTAAGTAAGGGTGAGCATCCCATACCATCCTGCCTCATTAACATAGCAACATAACTAATCCTCATTAACGTAACCTCATCCTGCCTCGTTAACCACAACACATCCCAAAATGGAGGACAATTCCATCAGATCACAAAACAGAGGGCCACCACACCATCCTGGGAATCATGGCCTAGCCTAGTTGACACGTATTTTGGGGGGACATAAATCAATCCATGACACTCTGTGGCACCCCAAGCAGAAGATGTGGCTGACCCGAGCCCAATCTCCTGACCCACAGAAACTGAGGTAATAAAGCAAACCCACTGCCATCGAGTTGATTCCAACTCATAGCGACCCCTATTGGGTTTCTGAGCCAGTAAACATTTACAGAAGTACACTGCCCCATCTTCCTTCTATGGCTGGTGGCTTTGAACCACCAACCTTCTGGTTAGCAGGCCTCAGGCACTGTGACACCAGGGCTCCTTACACATGTATACTATTTTAAATCGCCAAGTTCATGATAACATTGTCACAAAGCAATAGATAACTAAGACACCCTTCCAGTTCATGGTAATCACCACAGAGACCCAAAGAAAGAACGTGGCTGTATCAGCATAAAGCCCTTCTCATGCCTGCAGACAGTCAATTTCCATTATTCAGACTCCAGATTCACGCTGAAATGGCTTTGCAACCCCAAAATCAATACCTGTGGTCACTTGTCAGTCACTTGCAGGCATGTGCAGAAAATCCCAGTTGCCTGATATGCATGTTCTCAGCTGAGGCTGTATGAGGTGAGGCTGTTTGCTCAAGCTCCCACACTGTAACCAAGTGTCCCTCTTATGACATATTTAGTGCACGTTTTTTGTCTTTTTGTTTCCTTTTGAGTGATTTCCCTGTCTACGACGGCCCCCCCACAGCATGCTCCTGAGTGCACGAAGGCCGTCATGTGCCTTACGGGGAACACGCATGCCCGGTCAACTTTGCCAGCACTCGAGTGATGGTGCTGTTGGCCGTGAGTGTGATGTGAATGCAACAGCGTGGATATTAAATAAGGTGCCTTCAGACACAAACACACACACAGCGAGGCTGTGGTCAGCCGAGAAAGACGCTGTGACCAGAGGCTTGCAGGAACCTCACTGTGTACCCGTCTGTCCATGCATGCTGCACACGCAGACAGGCTGCTCCTCAAGCTTCCGGGCAGCCAGACTGCCCAGAATGAGGCCAGCACACCCACAGCCATCAACCGGTCCATGGGTGCTGCGTTCATCTGTGATCACAGACACATGGGACATGAACACATATAGCTGGCAAAATGAGAGCTGCTGTTACTATTCATAGACAGCAAACAGTAACAATGATAACACTCAGCCTTCTGTGAACTCCCCATGTCACTCCTGTGTCACTAGGCTGGCGCTCCATGGCTCAGGTCACTGCTGTCTCTGCTACCACCATGCTGCTTAGGGGTCCCACACAGCTCCCAGGGCTTTCCCACTGGGCCTCGCCTCACTGGCAGGAAGACCCCGCACAGTATCTCCCGAGCCTTTGCTGCTGGGCCCTCCCGGCCTCTACCACTGGCTCCCACCATGGTACCCTCTGGCTGCCATGCTGCCTGGACTCACGCTGCTCGAGGGCTCACGTGGCTCCCACCACACTGCCCAGGGAGGGAGGTGTGTTACGTGAGGCCCACGCAGGCCTCTGCCCTGCACGGGCAAGTGTTACATCTCCCTAGCAGCAGGCAAGCCTCCTGTGCCCAGCCTTCCATCCACAGGCCAACAAGTCGAACACAGCCATCTCTCTCCAGGGGCCCACGGTCTCTCTGTTTGTGGGGTTGCAGCCCTCTCTTCTGGGTTAGGGGTTTCTCAGCACAGGGACTCCAGTCCAAAGGACACACTTTGCTCCAGACTCTCCTTGATGGCAGTGAGGTCCCATGAACCTCCGTGGCACTGGCTATTATATAAGCCTACCAGGATGCCAGAACTAACCAATCCCCTAGCTGGCCTGCAGGGAACTCAATCCTATTGGTCAGATTTTCAAGCTACTTTTTGCACAGTAAATCAACCAATTCCTTGCAAGACTCTGGCTCCTCCAATCATTTTGTGGGAGTTGTAAGACCATGGCTAGACAGGCCATACAAGAAGGACTACCTGCACTGCCCTGCCCCACATGTCCCCTGGAGCAATGGTTCCACACTCACTTATCAGTTTCGCAGCAATTCTACAGAATGTAAGTACTGTAAATAACAAAAACACTGTACTGTGCTGAGAGCTGTCCGAACAAGGCACAGCCTGCCTCGTGTTTGGAGCCATCTGCATATGCCGTGCAGACGTGGAGATGGGCACTCCCTGCCCTCACCCATCCCCCTGGGCTAGACCGTGGGTCACAGGGGACTCCATTCTCCTGCAGCATGGGTCATTTATTTTGTTTTCATTCCTTCCCTCAGACACTTGGAAGAGATCCACAAGTCTTAGGAATTCTATTTTCTTTACAAAAACCAGGTGCATACCCATCTATGAGAAGATGGGACGCGTACTCATCTAGAAGAAAACTTACCATCCCCAGGAATATCATCTCTTCTTCTCTCTCTCTTTCTGTTTTCTTACTTTGATGGAAGGCTCTCCAAACCTAAAACAGATACACGGTCACTTGTTTGATACATAAACAAATACGGCAATGCTGTCTACAGCTTCTCCCGTTTCTGCTGCACATTCCAAATTAAACTGTTCATTAAAATGCCCGTAAAGTCAGAATTGCACACGTTGAGTGTTGATGGAATACGGGCAGACCTCGGTGACAATGCAGGACCGGTTCCAGGCCCCTGCAGTGAAGTGAGTATCGCAAGAAAGCAAGCACACACCTAGTTTGGTTTCCTAGTGCCTCTGAAAGTCATGTCTACACTCTGCTGTCTGCTAGGAAGTGGGCAGCAGACGATGGAAATTTAGAATTATTGTGAGAATGACCAACATGGACACAGAGGCAGGAAGCAAGCACACGCTGCTGGAAAAACGGTGCCAATCACCTTGCCCGAGACGCAGGGTCGCCAGAAAACTCCAATCTGTGAACAAACACGGTCATCTGCGCGTGCAATAAAGCAGAGCGCCACAAAGCGAGCTGTGCCTGCGTTTCCTTCTCTGTGCGCAAGAGCACGCCGTAAGGGAAGAGCCAGTCACGGCGCGACCCGTAGTTCTTGTTAATGAGTCCCTGCCAGTCTTTCCTTAGGAGAGGCTCTTAGAATACAGGGAGCAGCCACACCAAAGGGCAGTGCCTCACTGTTTTAAAGGAAAAGTGCCCAAAGCTCCCTGAAGATTATGACCGAGTAACTTTCAAGAATCACACACCTCAACCGGGGTGATCTTTCAAAACCTTCCTAATCTACCCCCAGGCACTGGAAAGAAAACAACCCCTTGTTTGTCCCGTATGTAAAACCTCCCCACCTGCCCCTGGCTCCCATTCAAGCACAATTAGCCAGGAGAATGGACTCCCTGAGTGGTGCAAACAGGTCAGCAGTCAACTACCAGCCTCAGGGTTGAAGGTTCAAACCCACCCAGAGGTGCTTCAGAAGACAGGCCTGGCCATCTGCTTCCGAAAGGTCACAGCCTTGATACCCTGTGGAGCAGTTCTATTATGTGCACAGGGGTCACCCTGAGTCGGCCCTGACTCACCCACAACCGACCACCACCACAGGGACCACCACAACCAACCACCACCACAGGGACCCCCGCAACCGACCACCACAGAGATGAGAAGCAGACTGTCAGGCTGCATGCAACGTCCTCATGCTTGTTTCTGTTGCACGTAAGGTCGGTGCAGTCCACTCGATGGCACCTGATAACAATGCTTATTTTCTCCCTAACCTACTTCTAATCTGTCATGTTGGCATGTTTTGCATTTTTCTGTATACAACCTTATACTTGTAAAAAAACCAAAAAACAAAACTCGTTGCCATGGAGTCAATTCTGAGTAGTGACCCCACATGTTACAGGGAAGGACTGCTCCATAGAGTTTTCTTGGCTGAAATCTCAACAGGAGCAATCACCAGGCCTTTCTCTGTGGTGCCACTCAGTGGGTCTCACCACCAACCTCTGAGGTTAGGAATCAAGTGCAAACCACTGTGTCACCCAAGGACTTCTCCTTGGAAAACAGATGGGGTACAGATGGTTCTCATTTGACAAAATAAAAGAGACCGTTAGGCCCACGTCTAGAAAGAACACTGATGACCAATTATTAATGATGTTCATTGGGATTTTCTCAAATGGTCCTCATTTCCGTAACTCAGCCAGGTGAGTCCAGGTGAGGCTTCCTTCTGTAATTCTATGTCTGTGTGGAAATGGGCTTTTCAAATCCTTAAGGAGTGACTTCTTATGGAATTTTAGCAATAATCTTTCCAGCAATTGTCCCCCATCTATAACAATATTTGAATAAAATGTCTTGATTTTGTTTTGGGGGCCTGAGTTTATCTCACTGGTGGTGGAATATTTTGGAAAATGGTAACAAAAAAGGAGGTACAATGTGAAAAGTGTTATCAATTGAGGCCAGAGAATTGTGAACAGGGAAGTTGTTATCTTGGTGAATGGTTTGGTGTATATATTTGCACCACAATAAAAAAGTTAGATCCTTGAGTTGAATACCTACTTGCAAAGAAATTCTAAAACAGAATCAAGCTTAGCTAACAGGTTCCCCGGGGTGAGTTAATGAGTCTTTCAGGAATTGATTCTGGTTCTATCAGTGGTAAGAGTTGAGATTCTGAGTTTCGGAGTGCACCCTCAACCCCAGGACGCATCTCGGTTGTGGCAAGACCACCGCCCGTCCCCCGGCCCCCACACTGTACCTTCTGGATGCACAGAGCAGCGGCCGCCACGTCTGGGAGTCTGTCTGCGAGCAGCTTGCCCTGCTTGACCCTGTATTCTTGCAGGTAGATTTGCTTCATGAACATGGCCCTCAGACGGCCTTGCCGGGCCCGTTCTGCCATCTGGATCATCTTAATGGCCTTGTCCAGAGGGATGGCCTTCACGACTGGTTTCTGTTAAAGACCAGGGAGACACAGCCCAGTTAGCACACTAACCGCAAGGACGGATCTCAGACGCGCGGCAGCCCTTCTTGTAGCACCATCCTGGGAAGGGTCGCACACTGCTGCCAGAGCCCGGGAGGGCTGCTGCCACCAGCCATCTTTCCAACGAACTCTCCTGACGACATGCTCTCGTGCGGGCCCCCACAGCAGTACCCCCCAACCTCCCTGTCCCCTTCTGAACAAAATACTCTTTGACTGTTCTTGTGGTTGGTTGCTCTTGAGTCAATTCAAGTCACAGTGACCCCACTGTGAGCCGAGTGGAACTGCTCCCTGGCATCTTCAAGGCTGGGCCCTTTCGGAAGCAGAGCGCTTCTGGATGAGTGTGAATGGCCAACCTTCTGGCCACCCAGGGACCTATACTGTTTAATTAGCTCCACAGTATTTTAGGTTGGTTGCCAATTTCACTAGAAATGTCAGCAAAGGGGATCCAACGAAACTTTGCTATCAATGTTTCATTAGCTCAGTGGTAGAAAATTAAAAAAAAAAATCTATAATATGAGAAGATAAATCTTAAAATGTACATGAAGTAAAACGCTGAGCTCAAAGTCAATTACTGGGTGACCAAGTGGATAGGACTGATTTTAAAATCACTTTTGGAGTATTTATTTCTACATGAAACAGCTTTCCAGATCCAGCCATTTGTATGTGAGACCATCCAGACTTGCCAAGGCATGTCTACGGTATGGCAGGTGCAGCATGTGAATGCCATGGATGCCAGTGGAAGGGGGCACCACTGAGCGGTTCCTATGAACCATCTCAGTTTCCATCGCCAGCTGTGAGAGATCATTCGGCAAGTTCAAATTAACACCGTTGTACTTGAGGGCCTCTGCGGGTCCAGGTCGACCGTGTGATCCTGCTCTGCTGAGTGTAGACAGAGAAGACCCTGAACACAATGACCTTGAGCCCATCAGAGGCCAATCATCAGCAGTGGAAGCAAGGAAAGGGTAGCTGACATCTTCACGTAAGGCTGTCGCGTGCTGAGTAAGTATGCACAAGAATGACTGGTGTTTCCGAGCTGACACGACGGTCCATTTGTTTAAGAAGTGAGCATCCGAGGTCTGGACCAGGCACAATTTCCCCACTTGCCGTCAGCACTACTTTCTGGACCTGAGTCTCTGCCACTGAGCGTGAGCAGTGACACCCTGCCTTCCGAGCCCTCAGGTGGGACATGTGGAGGGGAGTCACACAGGGGTCGTGCCCTGCTTTGAGGAAAGAGGGACGTGAGTGAGGGCGTGGGCAGGCTGCTTAGGGTGAGGCTGCACTATTGTCCGACTGAGCGAGAGGCTGCGATGGGGAGTCTCTGGCGGCCAGAGGGGGCGGACAGAGATCAAGCAGCTGTTCGACAGGCTGACCCTGAGTCACGGCAGCCCCGTGTGTCAGAGCAGAACTGCTCCACCGGGTTTTCAACAGCTAAGGTTTCAGAAGTAGAACCGTGGAGGGACGGTGGGGATGAGAACCGGCAGGGACGGATCTGCAGGGTCTCACTGACTGGCGTCCAGTGTCACCTCCCGTCTCCAGTTCCCTGTGAGACCCTCAGTAGATTCTGCACTGCTCTGCATGCTGTGTGCAAGGGGTTCCCTTAGGGGGCTAAGTCCTTCCCTGTGACTGACAATGGACACTGATGCTGGCAAGGTGGCGTGATGACCCCAGCCAGTCAGCCTCGGACTCGGGCTTCCAGGAACTCATCGTGTGTGAGGCAGGGTCAGTTGTTTAGGGGAGAGGTGCAGGGAGGGCAAATGGTCTTTAGCTAGGTGGTCAGGGAAGGTTTCTAGAGGGGACTGTAGCTGAGATGGGCTCAGAGGAATGGGCACCATGTTGATAGCAAGTCCACTGTCTAGCAGGGAGCCCTGCCTGTGCCAAACAGGAGGTGGGCACAGGGGGGACTGGTAAAGCCCATGTGTGCTGGCATTCACCACACAGCACTAAGTGGACGTGGTACTCTTCCTCACCAACCCCATCAGGCACATGGAATCCTTCATACCAAGACCCAGGTTGACTACACGCAACGGGGCCTCTTGTGGGAAGAACACACCTGGTCTTCTCTGTGCAACAGGTGAAGGAAGGTCCATTCTGGTTTGCTCTTGCAATGCCAACAGCCCTTACACTCCTAAGGGCCCCAGTCTGAATGGTCCTTACTGCCATGAAAACCAGCCAGAGACATTCACCTCAGAGGTAATGAGGGTTGTCACTAACTACATAGGACAGGTCTTGCAGAAGACTCGTGGGCGTGTTATAGAGAAAGGATGGAGGAAGACTACCAAAGGGGAGGCTGCATCGGAGATGACTAAAAACCCAGAAAGCACTGAGAACCAGCTGTGAAGACAGAAAGAAGGTGCACTTGCACAGATACTGTGGACAAAGAAGGTGGAGGCCTAGACAACAGACTGCATTCGGCTTCTCTGCTTTCTGGGGAGGGTCTTGAAGGGGCTTTTTCTCCCTTTCTCCAGAGTGTCACTCAACGGGAAGTCAGAAAGTTAGTCCATATTTTTTAGAACGTGTGGACAGTTTTTGTTTAGCAGCCAGATGCCTTCAACCCTACACCACCAGAGCCCCTCAGAACACGTGGGCATCTCTGAGTGCCTGGAAAGCCACCGTACTTAGTGTTCTTCATGGACAACATTTTGCTTCTGGCTTTAGGCTAGGTCAATCTGGGGTGAAAATTAAACTGAGTTGATCACCTACTCCATAATCTTAGAGTCACAGGTTTAACCCACAAAGCATTATGCTTTGATCATTGTTTCTAAGTTCTTGAAAAATAATGATTATGAATCATCCAAAACAGGTTCCAAAGTTTACATGACTTCTCACACGCACGAGGTGGAGCCACTCTCCTTACGGGGAAAATCACTGAACGTTTCTCTCACAATTAGGAACCAGAAGCAGCAGACGGTTCATTATGAAATAGTTTCTGCTAAAACACTATACAAACCATGCTCGTTGTGTCTAATCCACTGTCGGCCAGGATTTGCGCAAGAATCTTCTCTCTTCCTTTTATTACTTCCAGCTTCTCCTTCAAAAAGTATCTGGGAATGGGGATATCTAGTTGTTGCTAGGAAAGAGACAAATAAGCAAGGAAGTATTTTAGTCATCATTTGAGGACTCAAGTATTTGTAAAAATACAGTAGGAACCTGTGCATCGAGACAGGTATTTCACATTGTGCTCCTTTAAGAACTATGTGTAGGGGGGTGAAATTGACAACAGCATCGGGAAAGGTTCGAGGAGACTATTAGGGGCAGGAAGTTCATGTTAATGGCAGAGGAATAATTCAGAAAAGGAGGGTGATGATGGTCACACAACCTGAAGAAGGTCATCAGTGTGAATGAACTGGACATGTGGGAACTGCTGAATCGGTCTGTGATGCTTGGCTTCCTGGCCATTCTCACGGAGGAGATGATGAGCCTACCCAGGTCAAGAGAACTCATTACTGGTAACCAGAACCCAAACTCACTGCCATCGAGTTGGTTCCGACCCATAGAGACCCTAAAGAACACGGTGGAACCGTCCCATAGGGTTTCTAAGGCTGTCATCTTTACGGAAGCTGGTGGCCTCATCTTTTCCCAAAGAGAAATGTTCCTTTGAAATGAAAGGTGGACCTACAGAACTATGACACTGAAATGGAGTGTCCAGCTGCCCCTGGAAGACCCAGACATATAGGCAGCCAGCCAGCCAGCCAAGATCTTGGGCACCTGGCAGCAAGGGTCCAATTGCAGTGACCGTTAGAAGGGCAGTGAGGGTCAGAACGGCCACATGAGCTCACTGTGCTACCAGGGGCCAGGAAGGGGACCTCCAGGGCATATGGGAGAGAGAGAGAGAGAGAGAGAGAGCGCAAGTGAGCACTGTGGAGTTGGAAGCTCTAAGGCCCATAGCCATACACGCCCTTGGGTCACCACTGGGCCAAATCCAAACCAAAGGAGGAGCTGCAGCCACCAAGGAACCAGGCACCAGCAACCAACAGGCTACTCAGCCACAAGGTGGTGGGAAAATCAAGGCTTATGGAGACAAGTGGAGGGCACTGCTACTGGAGTGGAGGGTTTCTGCAACAACATATCCATGAAAGGCACCCTGATGACCCCGTCCATCAGGCCTGGGGAGACACCATGGTGTTAATTAAGACCACAGTGGCCTTGGTGCCCAAGAGACCCAATGACTGTGGAAAGAGCTGTATGCACCAAGAATTAAGGGGACCCAATCTTCATCTTGTCCAAGACAATACAGTCTCATCGAAGGGCTATGTTTTGATTTCCAATACCAAATAACCAGTAAATATGGCGACAGAGTCTGTAGTATATTGGTCACAGGCCCACATACCTTACTTAAACAACAACAAAAAAATTCATAATAAAAAAAGAGCACTTACAGGTGCCAGCTTTAGATCCTGCAAAATGTCATCGAAATAGTGAAACTCGGTGAGCTCCAACTCAACCATCTCATTCTTCAGCTCCAGAATGCGGCCCATCACCCCGTCTAGCACCTTCCGGATCAGGACTCGCTTCTGCGGATGCACTATCTGGTCATAGACATTCTCCAGCTTTCTGAAGATCTGCACGTACTTTATGTAGAAGGTGGCTAACATTTCGAAGACGAACACTTGATCTTTATGTGGTTCCCCCAACTTCTGAGACTCTTTGTCAAGCAAAGAATTGAGGGCTTCTTGCGTCTGATGCCACATCTTGTTATACATTCTGAGAGAAGACAGACAACAGAGCAAGGAAACATTACCTTACAAGACACATATACTGGGCACCTGGTACCCCAAATAAAGTGTGTAATCAAGTATGAGTTAAAAATACTGTACGTGGCCATGAGGTTCTTTGGAAAACTGAGGTGCTGGTTTGATGTGCATGTGTTTTTGGATGTGACCGCTACTATTATTCCTATAAACAGTTTTAAGCACTTGTCACCTCAATGAAATAAAGTGAGCAGTACATTGACAGGAAATTGCCAGAAATTCAGCTGATCCAGAGAGGACGTGGAACGAGGAGTATGGTTGCTGATGTCAGATGGATCTGGGCTGAGAGCAAAGAATACCAGGAAGAGGTTTACCTGTGTTTTACTGATGATGCAAAGGCATTCGACGTGTAGTTCATAACAAATCATGGACAAATTGTGAAGAATGAGAATCTCAGAACACTCAGTTGTGCTAATGAGGAGCATGTATGTAGACCAGGAATAGAACAAGGGGACCCTGCATGGTTTAAGACCAGGAAGGGCATGGGTCAGGGCTGCATGCTTTCCCCACACGTATTCAATCTCTACACTGAGCAGATTATCCAAGGATCTGGACTGTAGGAAGAGGAACGTGGCATCAGGATTGGAGGGAGACTCACTAGCAACCTGTGATACGCAGACGATACAATCTGCTTGCTGAAAGTGAGATGACTTACATCACAGTGTAAAATCCAGAGAGTATGAAACGTGGAGCGTGTCCTCAGTTCACCAACACTGAGGAGCGACTGCAACCCCCAGGGGCCCCCTCACCTGACAGGCCGAGAATGGTAACAGGCTCAAGCACTGCTAACGCGAAGCAGAGAAAAATGCCTCCGTTTGTTTCGGGGACTAAGTCTGGTTCGGGGCCTCAGCCTGACACGACAACGTGGGAACAGAAAACGACTGGCTGGTTTTGTTTAGGGACTTGGATCCGAAATCCCACTTAGCAAACGGCGCCACCCAGATCAAAAGCCCCGTGGCCTCTGGCCAAAGAGGGGTCAAGGCCAGAATGAAAGTTCAATGTCTGGGGAAGCTGAACTTCATGCGGCCACGGAAAGGCAGTGCCCACCCTCAGTCAATCCCACGGTGCCCAGATGCCCCACATGCCTTCACTGCCGCACATTCCTGGTGGAAAAGTCCCTCCCACACCCCACAGTGGACGCAGCCTCCAAAATGCTAAACCGGGGGCCCTACGTGCTTCCAGTGAGAAAACACTGGAAACCCACCCTCAAGGGCACAACGGGGTGACGGCAACGTCAGGGGGATTCACAGGAGGGACCGAAAACCACTGCTGGGACAGGAAGTGCCTGAGAAACCCGGGGAGTCAGTAACCAAACAACCGTAAACTAGTGCACAAAGCTGTAAGACACAGGCAAAACCCACAACAACAAACTGTGGAGAAAAAATGAAAAATAACCACCAAAAAACCCCACTCACAGTACCAATACCCGAACCCAACCCAATCCACTGCTAGTGAGTTGATTCTGACTCCCGGCGACACCCTAGGACACAGTAGAACCGCCCACAGGGTTCCCACAGGCTGTAAACCTTTAAGGAAGCAGACCACTTCATCGTTCTCCTGTGGCACGTCTGATGTGTTTGAACCACCAACCTTCTGGTTAGCAGCCAAATACTTTAACCACAGTGCCCCCAGAGCTCCTACGGTACCAATAAAGAACGTTAAATATTTGAGAATCAATATGGCACAGGCTACACAAAGTCTGGTGGAAGAGAATTCTAGAAGTCTTGCTTATAAACAAGATCTTAACAAGTAGAAGGCAACCTTTGTTTCTGCCTCAAAAGGCAAGTGGTACAGAGAGCAAGCTCTTGAGAATGACATAAAATGTAACAGTGCAAAGAATCTGATAATCGTATGATAGAGAACCTACAAATTACCAGCAATGATCGGAAAATGGAGGGTGTGGAGCAGACAGGCAAAGGTCCAAGACATCTTACCAGACCTCAAGACATCTGACACACCAACAAGCATTAGCTTGTACAATACCCTAAGAAGGAGGCTGCACCCACAAACACTGTGACTTAAATCCCACAGGAAACCAAAATGAAACTCACTGCCTTCAAGTCAGATCTGACTCATAGCGAACCCTCCTTGGGTTTCCGAGGCAGTATCACTACAGAAGTAGACTGCCCAACCTTCCTTCTGAGCAGTGGCTGGTGGGTTTGAACCGCCGCCAGCCTTCTGGTTAGCAGTCAAACGCCTTAGGCTCCATGCCACCAGAGCTCCCACAGAAGAGACCCCAAACCTCCTCCAGGACATGGTATTAACAGCAAGGGACCCTGGGCTGAGCAGGCTCCCTGGCCCACCCGGGGAAGACCCCAGCAGACTCAACAGACTATAACATGCCTGGCATTGAAGGGGACCCTGGGTGGTGCCAACAGTGAATGCACTCGGCTGCTGAGCCCGGAGGTGCCAGTCCACTCAGAGGAGCCTTGGAAGAAAGGCCTGGTGATCACAGCCACCGAAAACCATATGGAGCAGTTCCACTTTCCCACACACGGGGGCACCTTGAGCTGGAGTCGACATACCACACTGGTTCCTGGTTTTTATTATTGAGACATAATGAAAAACAAACAAAACCTACTGTACCGCCCCTAGGGGACAGAGTAGAACTGCCCCACAGGGTTCCTGAGGCTGTCAGTCTTCACAGAAGCAAAATCCAAGCCAAACCCACTGCTGTGGAGTCCATTCCGACCCACAGCGCCCCTAGAGGACAGAGGGGAACTGCCCACAGGGGCTCCAAGGCTGTCAGTCTTCACAGACGCAAAGCCCAAACCACACCCACTGCCTGGAGTTCATTCTGACCCACAGCGCCCCTAGAGGACAGAGTGGAACTGCCCACAGGGGCTCCAAGGCTGTCAGTCTTCACAGACGCAAAGCCCAAACCACACCCACTGCCTGGAGTTCATTCTGACTCACAGCACCCCTAGAGGACAGAGTGGAACTGCCCCACGGGGTCTCCCAGGCTGTCAATCTTCACAGAAGCAAAGCCCAAACCACACCCACTGCCCTGGAGTCCATTCTGACCCACAGCGCCCCTAGAGGACACAGTGGAACCACTCCACAGTGTCTCCAAGGCTGTCAATCTTCACAGAAGCAAAGCCCAAACCACACCCACTGCTGTGGAGTGGATTCTGACCCACAGCGCCCCTAGAGGACAGAGTGGAACTGCCCCAGGGGTCTCCAAGGCTGTCAATCTTCACAGAAGCAGACTGCCTCATCTTTCTCCGGTGGAGCAGGTGCTAGGTTTGAACCACTGACCTTCTGGTTAGCAGCTGAATGCTTTACCCACTGCACCACCAGGGCTCCTGAGATATAATTCACATACCATAAAACCCACCCCTTCAAAGTATAAAATTCAGCAGGTTTTGATGCACTCACAAGGCTGTGCAACTATTCCAAACCAAACCTACCACCATCAAGTCAATTCTGACTCAGAGTGACCCCCACTAGGTCTCCAAGGCTGTCAATCTTTATGTAAGCAGACTGCCCCATATTTCTTCCATGGAGCGACTAATGGGTTTGAACCACTGACCTTACGGTTAGCAGCCAAATGCCTTAACCACTGCCCCACCAGAGCGCCTTGGTGCAACCATTACCACTATTTAATTTCAGGTTTCCACTATCCCAAGAAGAAATTCCTTGTCCATTAGCAGTCACTCCCCAATTCATTCCCCCAAGGACCACTAGTCTACTTCCTGTCTCTATGGAGTTGCCTGTTCTGGGCATTTCCTATAAATGGGGTCACACGATGTGTTGGCTGGCTTCTTGCCCTTTGAAGGAGTTTCCAGGGTTCATACATGTTGCAGCGTATGCCAGGATGTTGTTCCCTTATTTACTTATTGTGGTTTCGGTGAAAGTTGACAGGGCACACTGGTTGCTCACTCAACAATTTATATACATTATGATACTGGTGGCAAGCCCCTCAACGTGACAGCTCTCTTTCCCTTCCTCCCCAGGTTCTCAGTTTACACTCGTCCTCCATTCCTGACCCTGCCTGCCGTCTGCGCTTTGTTTTCGGGCAAACTTTTGGTCTCATCCAGTAACTGTGCCAAGGAGCACGCTCCTTCCCGGTGTCACTATTCCTAGCATTTGGCTGAAAGTTGAGCCTCAGGGACAAGGTCAGCGCCAGGCTTGTGGATGTGTGGGTCACGGTCTCAGGCGTCCTGCCAGTCTCTGTCTGACTAGAAAGCCATTCTTTTTTTGTGTGACTTTGAATCTTGTTCTATATTTGATGTCATTTCTTTCTGCGAATGCATGGTACGCATCATGTGGATACACGTAACATTTTGTGTATCAGTTCATCAGTTGCTGGGCATTTGGGTTGCTTCCTCTTTGGGCTGTTTGAACACTTGTGTACAAAGTTGTGTGTGCATGTACGTTTTTTCTTCTCTTAAGCACGGCGAGATTTTTTTTTACAGATAGAAGTGCTGGTCGTTTAAACCCTGGACCTGTCTAAGGCAGCTCACTTAACTTCTTCGCACGTATGTTTCCTCACACGTCAACCACGGATAACAACATCCACTGCGGCCCGGGCAGCAGAGGGTTACTGTGGGAATGGGAGAGCAGATGCCAGACGTGTTCTTGAAGCTGCAAACGAACCTTGTGAAGAGAGGGCAGACTACTTCAGTCTTTAAAAAACACAGGATTGGTTTCAGGCTTGTGCACATGACCTAGCTTCCGAAGTCGGGGGATTGAGGGTGGAGGCGACTGATTATGACGGTTGAAAAAGACAAGGTCATTGTTTGCATCGCTTGGCAGTTTTCCTGTAACTGGGGTCGGGGAGGGCACTGGGACAGTAAGACACAGCATAGGCCTCAATGGGAAACAGAGATTCTATGGAGTGGAAAACCAAACCAAATGCACTGCCGTCAAGTCGAATCTGACTCGTAGCGACCCTTCCTTGGGTTTCTGAGGCGGTGTGTCTAAGGAAGTAGATTGCCCAACCTTCCTTCCGAGGAGTGGCTGGTGGGTTTGAACCGCCAGCCTTCTGGTTAGCAGTCAGATGCCTTAGGCACTGCACCACCAGAGCTCCCATTACAGAGCAGGGATCCGCCCCTTTACTTTATACATGGCACAAACCGCCAACTCTCCCACCTCATGGAGGTTTCCATTCTCTTCCCTGAACGGCACCCCACCTTCCTGCTCTGAGCCTGGCCCGCTTCACCCAGAGTGGAGGTTCCCTTACGCCCAGAGCTCTGGGCGTGGAGCTGGGTTAAGAACCCTCCCAGCTCTCACTGCCACGCCCAGACCGTTCCCCTTCTTCCCTCCAGCACCCCAATTCTGAACCTCTTCTTGTCAGATGGCACCACCCACTGCCCCCAACGCCATCATCTGCTGACCGAGACCTCTGGGCCCCCACCAGGATACCCACCCCAGGACATCTCTCCTGACGAACTCCTCTCTGCCTTCCTACCTGCTCCTGTCCATAGAGCACGTGAGCTCCCCGATGGAAAGCCATGCACCGGGCACCCCCCTTCATGCTACAGACATCACCCCACTTCCCTTCCTCCTTCCTCCTAAACCATCCTGCCTTGCCTCATCACTGAGCCGTTCTCTTCGGCAAACACACAAACTACCGTTTTCCTGCGTTTGCATCAGTCCATCTCCTGACCCCATTCCCTACCATCAGCTGCCACTCTGCTTCCTTACAACAGGGCTCCCTTGAAAAGCTACCTACGCCCACTGGCTCCGTGGGGCCACCATCGGTCGAAGTCAACTCAGCAGCAGCTGGTTAGGTTACGTCCCTCTTAAGCTCCCTTCAGTCAATCTCACTGAATCGACTCCTGGCAAGCTTATGAGTGGCTCGATGTTGCTAAATCTGACAGTCACTCCTCAGTTCTTCTCTGATTTGTCTTAGCATCACTGGACAGAGCTGACTATGCCCTGCTCCTACAAACACTGCTGTTTTCACCCAGCTTCTAGGGCACCACAATCGCTTGCTCTTGTCTTCCTCACTGGTCGCTCCTTGGTTCTTCTCTCCAATCTCCTACTCTGGCATGTTCCCAGGCTCCGTCCTTGGACCTTCTGTCTATTTCATCCCATGTCTCAGGACTACCACCTCTGGGCCTGCAGCTCTCAGATGTAAACGTCACACGCAGCCCTCTCTCCTGAATTCCGGACCTCAACACTCAACTCCCTCCTTGTCTCCATGCACGGGGATGTCCCAGAGGCACTCTAAAGCCTGCAGACTGTCCCATCCACAAGATCTGATCCAGTAGAAGGCAGTGTCTGTTTTTGCTTCAAAAGGCAAGAGTTAAAGACCACAAACTCCTGAGGATGACATACAGAGGCAGAATTACCAAGAATCTGATAGATAACCCAGCACTAATTTTTAAGTGGAGAGGTGTGGAGTGGGAGCTCTGGTGGTGCAGTGCCTAAGGCACTTGACTGCTAACCAGAAGGCTGGTGGTTCAAACCCACCAGCCACTGCTCGGAAGGAAGGTTGGGCAATCTACTTTCATAGTGATATGGCCTCGGAAACCCAAGGAGGGGTTGCTATGAGGCGGGTCTGACTCGATGGCAGCAAGTTTGGTTTTGGTTTGGTGGGGTGTGGAGTAGACAGTAAAGGACTAAAGGCATCTTACCAGACTTCAGAACATGTAACGGCCAGAGAGCAGGGTTAGTACTGGAGAAAGAGCAGCTGGGCTCACAAAGAACCCGCTCCTTTCAGAGGAACTAGCTGGCCTCTCTGTGACTGTGTCCTCAGCTGTAAGGCGGAAATCCTGGGAGCCCCATGACACAGGGTTAATGTGAAGGTAAGCGTCGTTTTATTTCCAGCACGGAGAGCAGTGCCCACACAGGATCTATTAACTACATGTAAGACAGGCGCTTGGAAGGATTCTCCTGGAGCCCAAAGACCACCATGGCGTCTGTGCTGTTAGCCACAGAGGGACAAAGGGGTGGCGGATTTCCTATCTTGTACCCGGACCAGCTGAGGCTCCTGGTGATAAGTGGGGTAAGAAACCTGTCTCAAGATCCTTCTTGATTTAAATACTGGACCTGGATGTTTTCACAGAGCAACCGATTCATTACTGAACAAGAAGCCCAAACAGAGCGGGTAAAGCCTACTGCTTCCCCAACAGCACAACGGGGTGCAGCGGCACGGGCAGCACCTGGCACCCAGCTGACCTCGAAGGCACACACAGACCTAAGTCGGCATTCCCAGCCCACCAGAAGCTGAGGCTGGGTTCTGAGGGCATTTGAATTTGCAAAAAGGTAACCAGGAGGGAGGGAAAGAAGGAGAAGGGGG